CATTTACCAGCATAATATCTGTTTAATCACTCCAACCATGAATAACCGTTACAGATTTAGGATACTTGCTATCCCAATGTTTTTTGAATTTTCACTGCTATGAGAATCTAAATGAGCGAACATTCCATGTGTCCTACCTATTCTCTATTTAAATAACTAAGGGCCTAATTTTGCATGTAATATTAGTTTTGCACTTCTGGTAGGATGTAATACAATGTAGAGGAATGCAAAAATGGAGAAGTTGGTTTTCCTGCTTCATAAAGTCATACCTGTCCCGTCACAGAGTTTACACTATTATTGATCTTGGCGAATAAAACTTTGGATTTCATATAAACTTTCATGGTTACATGTTTTATTGATTAATGTTTTCTTTCAACTGTTTCCTTTTTTGGTGAATATCTTCCATTTTCAATTTTGAAAAATCATACCACAGCTGACAGAGATTAAAAAAATGGTCTTTAGGTAGGAGACATACCCCAGGGACTCCCAAGCTTCTCTATTCCAAAAAAATTTGAGTATGCGAAGTCTTTAATCCCAACAGCAATGCTTATTACTGGGGTAGCCATATTGGTAAGAGAAGTTCTTAGGATCATCTGCTCACAATATTGCTCTCTAAATTGGATTTGTTCGGTGTCCAATCAAATTAATCTTTGAAATTTAGGAATCTGTTGGGATCGCTAAAGCTTTGGCAGCAAAAAATGGGTATGAGTTGGATTCAAGTCAAGAGGTATGTTCTTGAAAAGGAAGGTGCCAGTGCCTAATGATGTAGCATCTTGTTTTTAAGGATGAATGTAGCATGCTAGATGCCTCTGATCTCATCATAAATATAGGATAATCATGCCTGTTACCAATTTATATTTGAGCTATTTGATTTCCTTCTTGGCTGTGCAAACAAATAAGAGGACCCATCCAAAATTATTTACTGGTTCTCTATTCATGGTCTACAATCTAGTGTAACAAAATGAAATTTTGACTTCATCTATCCTTCAACAGTTGTTCGGTCTTGGTTTGGCCAATATCTTGGGCTCGTTCTTTTCAGCATACCCTTCAACAGGTGGGATTTAATAAAAGCTCCAAATTTAACCATGGATTTTGACCTGGATAATATATTTTATCCTTCACTCTGTTTAACTCTGGAATTTGCAATAAAATGATAAGCTTCTTTTTTTCTAATATGCAGGTTCCTTTTCTAGGTCAGCTGTAAATAATGACAGTGGGGCCAAAACTGGCTTAGCTGGAATTGTAGCTGGAACTATTATGGGCTGTTCTCTTCTATTCTTGACTCCGTTATTCGAATACATACCACAGGTTTATTTCTATGGCCCAGCTGTTGCCTCTGTTTTGCAATATAAAGGTTGTGAAGAACTGTAGAGAAAGAGGTTGCTTGTACGGTGTTCTGTCATGTCTATCAATAAATTCTGATTTGAAGTGCTTTGCAATATATGATGCAATTCAAGTTGTAGAGAGAGTATTGAGATATGTGATGCTACCAAGCAAATCACTGTTCAATGCTTTTATGTCTACTGTATCATAATCCATGTTGATTGAGGAGCCTAAATATTCTCTCTCAAGATGCTAATGGAGGATTTTGTGTTTTCTACTCTTTGCAGTGTGGTCTAGCTGCAATAGTGATCTCTGCTGTGATGGGCCTGGTAAGCATGCTAAAATTACAAGCTGAGGAGTTGACTGCAGATTCTGTTTCACATCAATGCTTTCCAAGTTTGTTATCTATATACCAGCGTACATGAGCTGAATATCTTACATAAAGAACTGCCCCCTCAAAAAATATAATATATGGGTATTGTATGACTATTAAATTAACTTGCTGGTCTTTCGTTTCTATGACATGACTATCTGCCTATTCACAATTCAGATTTTGCATCACATGTGAAATTGAAGTTTTGGAGACTTCTTGTGTTTTCCTATTTAACAGCATGCAAACATTGTTTCTAAAAGGTTAAGATACTTATTTCTCAAAGAAAAAATAAAAAAAACAACCACGGAGAATTTCTACTATGATTGCATGTTTTTCAAGTATTTGTGGCTCTAAATCTACTTTGTACCTTTTTGGTCCGTGAAAGCAAGATGTGTAACAATGCATTCAAGCATTGATACGAAGCCTTGAAAGACTGCAACTGATTCCTGAACATCTTAATACATCTGTTTGTATTGGCTTTCCAAGCAAGGTCATGTATGATGACGGGTAGAAGTTGACCAAATGAATGATATAAGAGCACAAGTCATATTATTGGTAGTGGTTGCTCCTTTGTTATCCAAAGGCGAATTGTGCTGATCACTGCCTTGTTCGGATTGTGGCTTAAACTTTATTATATATTAAATTTTTTGTCCGGGTGTCTCTTTTCAGGTGGATTATGATGAGGCTATCTTCTTATGGCATATAGATAAGAAAGACTTTGTTCTTTGGATCATTACCAGTGCTACAACATTGTTCCTTGGCATTGAGATTGGTGTCCTTGTTGGGGTGAGTATTTAAAGAAGTTATGTTAAACATGAAGGGATTTGGATAGTAACATATAAGATTTATGCACCACTTATCTGAAGTCCACAAATGATCCATGTCAACTGCCTTCTCAGCTTGTTTATAAGATACTGAACCAATCAACCTTTTTTTTCGCTGTTCTAGTGCAAAAGTTTGACATGATAATCTTGCTAAGTCCTTTTAGGTCCTCAGTTTGACATAACTTCATACAAATGGTTGACAATCCATGGTTGTATAAATTGTGCGCCTGATGCATGAACGCTACTGGCTTGCTGGAAGAAGCATTTTTTTACTCAAAATTGGTTTTGAAACTGCAGGTTGGAGTATCACTTGCTTTTGTCATCCACGAATCAGCAAATCCACACATTGGTTAGTGGGACTTGTTGCATCTTAGTATTTATGCATGTCAATAATAGGTTTAATCATTCTCTGAATCCCAGTTGATCTCTGTAATCTGCTCTATGCATAATCATTATTATGATCTTTGTCAATTGCTTTAGTATCTCAGCTATGGCAATGATGATTATCTACATCTTCCTTGTGGCTGTATTTGATTTCTTTCTTCCGGTTTGAACTTCTAAAAGATCAGATCTTCCAAATATCTCTTTTTATCGTGATAAAATGATCAATTTTTGCGGGGTTTGTTAACTGGAAATAAAGTTTGCAAGCTTCAAATCAGTCATTATATTGGTGCTTATCGTAGATATGCTTATAGTTTAAAGTACATATTTAATAAGTATAATTTGGTGTACGCTACAGCTGTCCCGGGACGTCTTCCAGGAACCACTGTTTACAGAAATATCCAACAGTATCCAGAAGCATATACTTACAATGGAATTGTGATTGTTCGCGTTGATGCACCTATCTATTTTGCTAATATAAGTTTCATAAAGGACAGGTGAAATTTTGTGTTTCCCTAAATTAATTCAACCCAGGATTACAAGTTCTTTGGATTTTAGGTTGTTGAGATTTCCTTTGTCAGGTTACGGGAATATGAAGCTGATGTTGACAAGTCTGCCAGACATGGGCCAGAAGTCGAAAGGATTCATTTTCTGATTTTAGAGATGTCACGTAAGTATTGCTCATCCTACGCGGGTTACAAGGTCGAGATAGAACATATATGATGTATCTCCATTTTGTCGTTCTCTTATGCTTTTAATCCATGCAAAAGTTACTTTTTGCCACCAAAACTATTTGCTTTCTTTTTCATCTCAATGTATTCTCCACGCACATTCTTTTATGCTGATTCTGAATTTTTTTTCATGAAATTTTCTGCGCTGTAGTCGCTGGGTTCAGTGGCGGCTGTCAATGCCACAACATTTTTTATTCTAATTTTTCAAGAATGCTTGCCAAGTTCGCAAATGAAGCGGATGAAAATAAGGCTCATCAAACGATCTGGTTACTTATATTCCAAATATTTTATTGTTTTGTAGCCATTACATATATAGACTCCAGTGCTGTTCAAGCTTTGAAAGACTTGCACCAGGAGTACAAATCACGGGATATTGAGGTTGAGTGTCTGTTTTGGTGGAAGTTACACTTAAATACAAGCTGTTCTTTTAATACAGAGACACAAGTATGATCTCTACTTTTTATTGGGTTCTGTTGCAGATCTGTATTGCCAATCCAAACCAAGATGTTCTGCTGACCTTAACAAAAGCTGGTATCGTGGAGCTCATTGGTAAGGAGTGGTACTTTGTGAGAGTACATGATGCTGTTCAAGTTTGCCTTCAACACGTTCAGAGCTTAAACCAAACTCCTAAGAACTCAGATTCATTTGCTGAGGACAAACCAAGTTTCTTCCAGAGGTTATCGAAGCAGAGAGAAGAGGATTTATCAATTGCAGAGCTAGAGTCAGGTGATAAAAAAACCTCGGTTCCCAGGTTTACAGAGCCACACTTGGAGCCATTGTTGTCCCGAAAGTCTTGAATTTTGCTCGATTATTTTTGTGAACTCATGATGCTTATTTGTCGAGGCAGGGCGTATATAGATTATTTGTGTGTAAATAATTGATCACGAGGTTCGATTTTTTGCAAGTTTCGAGGCTTTAGTGTTGTAAAATGCAATGTAAAACATACATTGGAGGGCTTGCTTTCCTCGACGGACCAAACTCTGTATTTTATAAAATTTGTTGTTGTTGTTGTTGTTATGTTATTTTTTAAAATGTTTTTTATATAAAAATAAGAATTTTTATTTTTTAAAAATTATTTTTAACAATAATATATTAAAATAATATAATTTAAAAACATAAAACAAAAAAATTTAACCACCCTAATCCCAAACATAAACAAAACAACTGTATATACTACTAGGCTAATAGACCGTAGGCCATACGATAAAGTTGCACATGGGCCAATCTTTATTTATCTTTGAAGTTTAACGCCCCATCCATGTCACAGTGAATGTAAGCCAACTTGAAATTCAGTTTGTAATTCTTTATTCTCGTGAAGTGTATTTTCAGTTTATGTTTTCATTAGCACTATTTTTTTTTAATAATTCTTCTTGATTGAAATGAACAGGAAAGAACCCCAACCCCTTCCCTTCTTGTCAGTCTTTACTTGCAAAATGGGTTGAATCCAGCAGTCCGACGTAACAATGTTATTAAGTTCCACTCTGTGTCTACTCATCAAATGTACCGCAGTGTAAGAGGTGTGTATGTAAGCGCGGTTATAATTAATTTTTAAAGTATTTTTATTTATAAATGTATTAAAATAATATTTTATTAATTTTTATAAAATTATTTTTAATATTAGTATATTAAAATAATTTGAAAATATAAAAAATATTAATTTGAAAAAAAAATAAAAAAATATAATTTTTTAAAAATATTTTTAAAACATAAAAATAACGGTAAAACTTTCATGTTGGTGGCTGTTGTTGTCCCATTGCGCTCCATCAGATTCTACAGTGGTGGAATTTGATTTTAGTTTTATTGAGAGTGATTGTGATTATTTTTTAAAATATTTTTAAAACATACAAATAACGGTAAAACTTTCATGTTGGTCGCTGTTGGGAATTGCGCTCCATCAGATTCTACAGTGGTGGAATTTGATTTTAGTTTTATTGAGAGTGATTGTGATTATTTTTTAAAATATTTTTTATTTGAAAATATATTAAAATATTTTTTTATTATTTAAAAATTATTTTTAATATCAATATATCAAAATTATATAAAAATACTAAAAAAAATATTAACTTTAAATAAATAAAAAATAAATAAAATTAAAATTGTTTTAAAATATTTTTAAATACAAAAACAAACAAGCTTTAATTGTTCAACGTAGAAAGAGTTGAATTAATTTTTAAAAAATTATTTTTTAAATTTAATTAAATATTTTTTGTTTTTAAAATATTTTATTAAGATAATATCAAAAATAAATTTTAAAAATATTTAAAAAATCACTTATAAATTCTCAAACAAGGCACGGAGATTTCTAATAAAAATATTTAAAAAATCACTTATATATTCTCAAACAAGGCACGGAGATTTCTAAAATTTGGTGCACGCGTTGAAAGGGAAAGTAGTTGATGTGAAACCTTTTTTCAGGTGTCCCACATTGAAAGAGTGATGAGCCTTGTGGAAGCGAGGCGCCTAGCGACAATAAAACTGCCCTAATCTAATGAGTAGGGAAAATAAAGCGAGTGGTGAGTGCCGCTCGCCGCTCCCCGCTCTGGCTCTATATTGTGCGCAAAAATTCGTAGAGGTGTAATAGGCTGGCCGATTGTAGACGCTGCTTACTTTGCAGAACTCGCCTAGGGGGGCCTAACTATTTGACCCACCTCTGAAATCCAGGCCAAGTTTATTCTAGTGAGTGCTGTCCTTGCTTTCTCATTTATTTTATGTAGGCCCTAGATTGTTAATTATCGGCCCAAAATACTCTCTTAACTGTCCTCGCCTTGTTTCATTCTCTATTATCAAAGTTCTTGTATACGTATATTTTTAATGAATAGATGCTCCTATTTCAGTTTGAGCCATAGGTACCTGGCAGGAGATCAAGGCTTCTAAAACATTTGCTATCCTTGTTACCGGATTATGAGCAAAAGAAAACAAAAAAGGATTTATAGGACTAACTTCAATTCAACCAAAGAAGCAAGGAGATGCCTTATTTTAACGGTGAAGCGTGTTTTCAGGCATGGATTGGGCAAAGTAGCTATCAGATAAATAGTTTCTTCAAATAAGTCATAAGAATATTTTTTATATAAACAAAAGAGTTGCTTTTTTTTTTTATTTGTTGTATTCCTGGGCGAAAGTGGTCCTTCCACCTATAACTGGCTTCGAATCGACTAGGAATTAAAAGCATTAATGCTAGTAGAAGAAGCCGACGGCCTTGTCTGCAACTGCGGAATCAAAGGTCAGTCCTCTCCTCAAATGTTGTTTGTTTTTTTTTTTTAATCTGTGATCATCGTACGCTATGGATTTGATGATGATGCCCTTTTCTCCCATGAGACATCAGCAAATGGGGGTCTTTTACTTTTGCGTTCAAAAATTTCATCCGTCGATTTGGATTGTGGCTGTAAAGTGTAGCCCCCGGCAGTAAAGATTAGCGGGTCCCAAATATATGAGAAGAATACACCGACGTCTATTGCAAACCAATCTGTATCCGCCATATCATCTAGCACAATCTACAATTAGTTCAAAAAGAAATCGCAAAGCGATGGGAGACGACCAAATCTCCGAATCATTGACATCCTTGTTGGTGATGCAACGAGGGAATCCTTAGTAAACAAGTAACGCTGACAGCTCCGGGCTGGTGCAGTCTTCGAGCCTCGGCGTGGTTAGTTAAAACATCTACGCATAGTTATGATACCCAACTAGTAAAGGTTTCTAACTTTCATACCTAGTAATTAACAATCCAAGACATTACCTTTATAAACATAGTTACTGAACCTGACCTATCAATGAGTAAACTTGATGATACGAAGACTCGGAACTTGACTTAGATTGATTTACTATTTTAATTGTTTTGAAAGTTTATTTGACCAAATCTGTGTGGGATCTAGTCACGCCATAAAATTGTTCAATTTTTATTTATTTATTTTTTCTAAAAAAACATTGTTTCAAAATAGATTTAAGCTAGCTTGTCTGCAAACAAGTTGTTTTAGCAAACCTTGGATCAAGAACCCGGACCGATTTTGATAGCCATCTTTTTAAATATAACATAAGTTGAGCTGATTATATTATCAAAATTTTCAGAGTTTGATTTAACATAAAAGTTATTGTATTTGCATTTAAGAAAGATAATGAATAATTTTTTTTTAAAATATGAAGTTTATAGTGACACATTAACATGTCCCTTTTAGGAACTAAACTCATAATGGTCATGGACCTAAAATATTTTTTTGCCCATTTCTAAATATATTTTATGGGTTTGGGTAAAGAACTCGAGCCATTAAAAAGTGGTGGGCTTGAGTTGAGACACGAGCTTAGATATTAGGCACCCCGACATCTTTTTATGAGCTTAGATGCACCACCTTAGCCTAACCCTTAAATGATATGTTTTTATCTATTTTTTAAACATGTTGAATTATTTTTTAGTATTAATGTTTGTTTAAATAAAAATCATTTTATATTAATGCTCATTGATAACAAATGACTATATTCAATAGTTTATGAAGAGGGGTACCCACATTGAACAAGGCAAGCAAAAGTCTAACCAACCTAATTAGTTTTGTTAGAGTTAACATTAGGAGTGAGAGGGGAAAAAAAATATAAAAAGCAAGTCTTTACGTGCCCTTTTAATACATGATATGAACCCTTTATATTTACCTCAAAAGATGAGGAATGAGTAACTTATCCATGTGAGAATGTTTTTAATACTTGATATGATCCCTTTATGATTAGTAAAGGAGATTTAATATCTTATTGAGAGGTTTGGCTACCCTCATAGACTCATTTTCTATATTGGAAGCGTATCATGTTATTCTTTATAAACCTGAAAAATATTTCTAAATTTGAATGGATATTTGAGTGTCAAAAATTCTTCAAGAAACTTAAAGTCCACTTCTCATCTCTTAAGGTTTAATCTTAGCCATGAGAGAATGAAGACTTTTTTTCTTTATTTGGGTGTAGTGGATTTAGATGTCACCGTTGAACTAGTAAAATAGAAAAATAAAGTTCAACGTCCGATCTATTACTTTAGTAAGACATTTTAAAACACTGAAACAAGATACTTGAATGTAAAAAAGGTAGTTTAGACTCTTGTAACTATTTTTAGAAAGTCGAGGCCATACTTTCATTTTCACCAAATTATCATCTTGACAAATCAACCCCTTTAATAAATTCTTTATAAGCTTAACATATCAAGACACCTAGTACAATGAGCATTTGAGTTAAGAAAGTTTGGTCTCTGATATGAGTCTAAACTAGTTATAAAATGATAGATTTTAACAAAATTCATTATTGAATGTTCTTTTAAGGGTCTATATTTAATGACTTTTAATGTTTATCAAGCTCTAAAACACCATTCCCCTGGCTTACAATTTTCTCTGGACCAGCCTATCTAATATCCACATGGCGATTTCATGGAGAAAGGTCCTCCAATGTTAAGGGTGATGGAGCTTATAGGGTTTGTTTTAAGTTCCTATTTACTAACAATATGGTAAATTATAAAGCTTTTTTGGTAGAGTTAAGGTTTGTAAAGGCCTTGAATGCATATCCACTTTAAATTTGTAGTGATTCTCGGCTAGTTGTAGGGGTTTGTTTTGAGTTCCTATCTATTAAAAATATGACAGAATATAAAGCCTTTATGGTAGGGTTAGGGCTCGTAGAGGACTTGAATGCATATCCACTTTAAATTTATTGTGATTCTTAACTGGCTGTAGGCCAATATCAATGGTTATATGAAGCTAAAGACCTCACTATACCGAAGCATTTATAGAAAGTTCAAAGATGTCTTCGATAAAGGCAAAGAAATCACAATCATCTGTATACTAAGTGAAGTCAACTTAGTAGAACTCCTTCTAAACATATGGATTGAAACCTTAGAAAAGTTACGTGGATGAAGAAGTTCTAGTAGTCGTCCCCGTCACCCTTGGTGAAGATTAGAGAACCCTTATCAGACATTATTTACTTACTAGTGGAGTACCTTTTGATAGAACAAAGGCCATCAAGCTGACCGGGCAGGGCATCAGGTATTGCTTAATCAATAACATCCTATATAAAAGGTCTACTTTCTCTCCTCTCCTGAAATGTTTATCACAAAAATAAAAATAAAAAATAGAACATGTGTTTTGAAAGAACTCCATGCAGGAATATGTGGTCTTCATATGGGACCTAGGGCTCTCACCACTTAAGCTGTCTCAACAAGTTTTTAATAGCCTATCATATTTTAAGATGCTAATGAAATAGCTAAACAATGTTATAAGTGTCAATGATATGCCTCGGTTTCCCACTACCTCTCTACACAAGTGACAACTATAGTCCTTTTATGGCCTTTCTTCCATTGAGAATGGATATATTAGGTCTTTTTTCAAAAACTACAAGTCATCTTAGTAGCAATTGACTACTTCATAAAATAGTAAGGTTAGGGCTTTGACTAATATGACTACGAACAAAGTAATCTTTTTGATTTGGAAGGACATTATATGTCTTGGGATTCCCAAAGTATTGATAACAAACAATAGGACATAATTTGACAATCATAAGATGAGAGAATAATATCAGAGATTCCTCGAACTATCAGGTAAATGAGAGGTTTTTTTTATATTAAAAAAATATAGATTCAATACAAAAATAATCTAAATCTTAGAATTTAAAACTCTTTTAAGTGTATTTATCACTTTTTTTCTCATAAAATTATTAACTTTACCGTTAAATAGTCCTTAAACACTCAAAAACTGATTTTTTTACTAACATCCAGAAGTATCCATCAAGAAAATTTATCTTAACATTTGAGCTATTTGAAACAAACACTTAACTAATATAAGATTCACCCACTAGAAAATCTTATTTTACAAATACCTTTTATTTTAACATTGCATCAAATACGATGTATCAAAGCCAAAACACCAGTTCATTTTGTTATGACAAACTGTAATATATCCTAAATTCTTGAGCAATCAACTACCCATACATCTAATCAAATAATTTGCTTTTCAAGCTTACTCGTAGAAAGTTGAGTGTTTTTAGTGATAGACAGGTAACTAAAGAGGGGATTCGAGATCTAAAAGCATGCAGAGGTAATAATTCCTTCTTCCTTGCAAATCAGCTATATTGAGTGTTCAGTAGCATTTTGATCATTCATATTTCCTTTGATTGTGCACTCAGAGCTGAATTGATGCAGGCATGACCAGAAACAATTTCCTTTCAACAGACATGGAAAATGACATTACTCAACAGTCACTAGCATCAAAAGAATCTTACGTGCGTTCTTCCAAGATTAGGTTTGTTCTTTCCTCTGTCTTCTTGTACGTACCACTTCAATGATATTGCTGAAGAAGCAGCTAGCTAGCTTATCATTAATTAAAGATTATCCCTAGTATTTACCTTGAGCCTCGTTGATCTAAAAGGTGGTTTAAGAGAAGAATACATGTGCAATAATACCCTATCGCATGATCATTTTTTTTTAAGTCCAGTGGACTACACCTTTTCCTTTCCTATTTAACGTGGTTGGATTGTCACATCTGTGACATGGATTGATGAGTTGAATACACTCACTCGTATATATGATTACTTGAAACATATCTTTACGTAAAGCCAACCTGCTGCAGGACTAGCTACAGTCTTCTTGCGCTCGCTGTATGGAGAAATTAAACAGGCAGCAATGTATACGAGACATTGGTGAGGAAGATGACATGCACGCATCATATATAACTGCAAATCGGCTACAGCTTATAAATGGCAATTCATGACTGTCAATTAACAACATATTTTGTGCACTGGATTTTGAATGGTGCATACATACCAAGACTATAAAATAGTAGCGCTAGTAATGTCCTGTCAGCGAGTCATTTTATTTGTATCTTTTGTCGTGTAACAGCTAGCCGTGTTGCAGCAAATCAATAGTTACGAATTACCAAGCATATATAGAAGATGACAAAAGTTCATATATACAAAGGTCAAGTCCCATAATAATATTAATAGGGAAATTCATTGGATATGAAAGTTACTATTACCTCATTTTCTAACCCAATCCATGCTTGACACATCATCAAGCTCAATCTATACCATATCAAAATCTGGCTATTGGGTGTGTTGACATGGCAAAACAAGATCAAATAACAACAAAATGCGCACCTCTAACTCAACATGCTGCCAATCTACCTTCTGTAGTTATCAGGGATCTTCCCTTTGGTTGGACCACGCATGCATGAAAGTTGCGTTGATGTTACACCCTCTAGGCATTAGTGTTCCGTACTCGGGGAAAAAAATATGGAGAAAAATCATCATGAGGAAAGAGTTAGACGTGCTGAATTTACTGAAGAAGAATACTCATACAAAAAATTCCCTCTTTCTTCTTTCCATGCCTTTTGTAACATGTATAGCTGAGGTTTTTCGTTCAATCGGCAAAGATACCATGCCTAACTGGATGCTGTGATGGAGTTGAGTGTAGGGACAAATTTTTTGGGAAAATATCTATGAGAAGCTAACAATTT